TTAAATAAGAATTTCCATACATTTCATCATGAAAATTGTTTATCGATATAAGTGTCAGGAAAAAGTAATGTTACATTTGTCCTGTAATGTTTTCGTAGTAAGCTATTTTTAACCTTTTTTATTTTTTATTAAAATAATATTACCATAGTAATGAATAACTATTTCTACATGCCTTGTATGTGCTGTATACCTGGTTGCGTAGGAAAATATATATTCAGTGTCTATATTAAGTTTCAACAGGATTTGATTTGTAAAGCAAACCAATGGATTACAGAATTTGTAGAAAAAAATACAGATAAAAGTTACTTCTTGATGTTTAAAAACGTCTCAATATTAAAATCTTTGATATCACGTAATTTATTTAATATTAAAATTATTGCAAAATCTTCAATTAATTTCAATACACACAAAAGCTAGTGAAATTATAAATAAATGCCTTTTATCAAGTTTTAGATTAAATGTCTATAACTATAATGTCTGCCCGCTCTCACAACAACAACAATACGTAGGTTGACGTCATTCAGCTGACCAATCAGAGTGTTGTGCCATCTGGATATTTAGTCACACGTCAAAGGACAAAGATTCCGCACAAAGATATCGCATCATTATTTTTGGTGTAGTGCATCCTGGACACGGGATATCCGCTCCATCTGTAATAAATCCTTTTCCACGAGCGATGTTTTGCACACCGCACACGAGAAGCAATCGTTACGCCGACTTTGGTGTTAGAAAGAGGTATAACACGTTCGAGTAATGCCTATAATATATATAATAAAAATCGAATAAATGAATTAAACTTCTAAGTAAACAAACATTGAATAAAACTAACCGATAACTGGTGTGTTGCAGCTGGTGCATCTTTCTGCAAACAATTTTCCGAAGCATTCGACACAGTACAATTTATCGCCATTGGGTGCGAATCGCTGTCCAGCCAAATACACCTGACAATACAGCCGTTAACAATAAGATGTTTTTTTGTTCTCCTACAAAACAATATATATTAATTATTGTTGCAGCCGATGAAATTATCGTGATGTAACAAGCGCGTGCACGAACTTTTACAATATATTTTTTATTTTTACTTTTCCACTCCGCGAGCTTTAAGACGGTCTTTTTCTACGTCAATTGTGAATTCGGTCAGGCCCACAATGTACTTGATTTAAAGGCCCTTTTAATGCTATTTTACATAAACTGAATAAAAGATAAACGTTAATTTGTGATTTTAACACTTTAAATAATAAAAATTTCTTTTCAAAGAAATTTGCTGTTTACCGAAGACAAAACTGCGAAAACGACACCACGCGATACTCGGAAGTTTTGCATGTCTGTGAAAAATGTAGGAAATTGACAATTTGGCACCTGAAACATCAAAATCTAGATATACAGTATATAGGCTATAAATGAATTCTTGTTAGTTTGTCCTTTATACAAATCTTTATTCTTAAACCGATCTAGATTAAACTTTGAGTACTACTTGAGTACTACTTACATCCTAGAATCGACACTAAGCTATATAAACAAATGGACAAGGGGACATTACATCGACTAGTAACTGATCACGGCTCTGCTGGTATCAGAGTTACTGTTGAATTAGATATATTATTAACGTATTATTGTAAATAAATTATGTATACAGTTGCAATACATATATATGTATGCAAAGGGTCCTATAACGTTCAATTTATCCGCACAAAATTTGGCATGATATTCTCCATCAACCTAGAAAAAATACTGTGGAGTCCCCATCCCCTAAAGCGACTTCCCCTAAGGACCGAAATGCATTCATTTTAGAAAAATAAAGTGATTTTCTACGGCTGGTCTTGGGACCAGTGACAGTGTAATAAGTCTAGCAATAAAGAAAGGCCAACGTAGTGCTCACAAGTATATATTTTTTGTTTTATACAAATAACTTTTAGGACTTTCGACTCTAAAGAAAGTCACATATAACTGGCCATGACAAGAGCATGGACATGGAAGTTCACATCTACCACTTTTATGATTCTCCTTGCAATAGATGATACTCACTTTTATGATTTATAATCATTGCAAAGGCTAACTGACTGGAAATTGCAGCCGTTTAAACTGAAATAGTATAGCAATAGGAATTAATGGTATTCTTGGAATTAACACATGTTCTCCTGTTGCAGTTTCTGTTGATATTTTTTCCTTGATGGTATTCGGCATCATTTTTTACCATCATTCTCGTCCGATTGCATTACTTTGATTAAGTCCAAATTTCGCAAAATCATTACTGGTTTAAAACTTTTAATTAAAACCATTAAAAACATTCTTTTATTTTCAGTTTACAAATATTTAGAGGTAATGTAATGTACGTGAAAGTCTCATTTTTCAATGGGTTGCTCACCTGAAGTTTCTGGGATGTCTTTACGTTTCTGACACCTATAGACGTCAGTTTCCCTTAGAAAGTTCCTCCGAGAGGAACCTTGGTTTGACCTTTCTGTTGCATTACCTCATCCTGTAATTCAATCGAGGCGTCTTTCCCATCTCTTACTCTATTTGGACTTACAAGGAGACCCTACGGCTTTGGGGAAACGGATTTTGATGATCTTTGGTGTCGAGATAGTACACCTTGTGAGTGTACTATCTGTAAAATACTAAAGTGCAATACTCAAATATAATCGAGAAAAACAAACTTAAAGTTTTTTTAGCACTTTATATATAAATTATACGTGCTTCCATTTGAGCGTCCTGTGGCTGAGTGGGTAGACGGGTTTAGCCACCGTTGTGTGCGGACGTGTGATGGCCTCGCACTCTGTTTCCAGTGCTGAAAGCATGGGTGATTCGCCCAGTACAACCCGTTATAATAGAAGTGCCTTATCGAATGCAGAAATTATGAAGCTATTAAACTTTCCGAATGATGTAGACTGGCGGAAGACCCTACTTTTTGTCGTCGATCCTGAAAACGGTCCTTACAATATTCAAGACTTTGTACCTGAACTAACCTGTAAGAGTAGTCATTGACTTAAAGGATATCATTCATTTCGGCGCCTCTGTAGTGACCCATGTCTTTACCATCGGACTTAAGAATAAAGCTACAGCGAAAACTCTCTTGAATAAAGGAACCATTAATGTACAATGTAAGCTTTGTGATATCATAAATATAGAAAACCGGAAAATAACAGCGACAATACACTAGCTCACTGCCGAACTATCCCACGTAGTTGTGACGAAACATTTTGTAAATTACGGGAGAATAATAAAATGCGAATTTGTTAAATGCAACGTCGAGGGATTAGAGCATATTCTTACAAACAAACGACGGATATGGATAGAATTAAAAAGGGATGTGAACTTAGAATCACTGCCATAGTTTATTAAGGTCAAAGGTATGTCGGGAGCGGTCGTAACAGCCAGCCGTTCCCCGTTATGTTACCGATGTAAAAATGTAGGCCACTTACGGAGGACGTGCACTACGCCGAAATGTAAAAAATTAAACAAATTCGGCCATATCGAGGATCAATGTTTGGGAGTCACTTATGCGTTCAAGCTAAAAATTAAAACGGACTGGGTAGACCTTATGGACGATTTAGACCAGTGTTTCTCAACCTCTAACAAATCGTCGCCCCCGCCAACATGGAAAAATACCCACATGGGGGCGATATCGCCCCTGTTGAGAAACTGATTTAGACAAAGGATGTTCTGGAAGTAAACAGAACAATAAAAATAGTCCAACTACTGCCGCAGGCATTAACGAACTCAAGATATCTCTTAACAAAGAGGTAAATGTAGTAGAAGTAACCACTGCCCAGGCATTAACGAACTCAAGATATCTCTTAACAAAGAGATAAATGAAGTGGAAGTAACCACTGCCCAGGCATTAACGAACTCAAGATATCTCTTAACAAAGAGATAAATGAAGTGGAAGTAACCGCTGCCCAGGCATTAACGAACNGAATTGGGTCCCCTTGTTTCCAGACTAATTAGACAATTTTTAGATGGGTCTAAAAATATGTTCGATTTCCCGCAAAAACGAAAAAACTGCATCTGCGTATTGCACGTCGCTTTCTCTTAACAATTCCATTGTTGATGGAAGTGTTAAGCCTTAATCCTGTCCCTCTCCCCCGTGGGGAGGAATTTCGAAAAATCCCTTCTTAGTGTGCGTTTTCGTGACGTACCCTATCTATGTACCAAATTTCAACTTTCAACTCCTAACCGTTTGGGCTCTGCACTTATTATCATCATCATCAACCTGTCTCGATTATATATTAGATTCGGTACTAAAAATATACGGTCGGAGATATCGACGAAAGGGAAATAGATGATTGCCTAAGGTAAAACTTTCCAAAATGTACAGGAAAACTTTTTAAAAAGGTATTATTTTCCTTAATATGTCAAGGGTATTTTAATTAATCTATTGTAAATAGATTTCATTCTAGAAAATATAAAGTCTCGGATGAAACCGCGCTCCTTTTAGGCATATTAATGTTATTTGGTCGCATTCGAAGGTCACCGACATAAAATTCTGCGATAATCTTCATTGTTATTCAATTCGAAAGATATTTTCAATTACGATAGGCAATAAAGATTTCCAAGGTAAACGGGAAGACATTACTACGGGGATATACGTGGGTACCGTACGCACAGTACCTTGAACTCCTTATTTGCAAAGTGTTTTTTTGACAGGTACACTGCTTAAAAAATAATTCGGAAAAGTTACTTTTAAACTTAATTATAGTTCTAAAATATTGTATGACAAGTTATTAATACTTTACGTATTTAATTAGGTTTAAAATGGTGTTTCTCGACCTCTCGCTTCGACGACTTAAGTATATCGAAAGGCTGTGGGAATAACTCTCACAAAAGCCTAAAATTTTTATATATACACACTTAAAAATAATAGCAATGCCGTAAGTAGATATAAATTTGTATATTTTAGCGTATTTCGCGGATGATTTATATAAAAAATGTGTGTTAAATTCAAGGCAAAATGAATATAATTAATAAAGTCTTGATAAAGTTTATTTATTTTGTAATCAATTCGTATACACTGATAAAATATTAAAAAACCATCTCCACCCGACATCTGTTTAAAAAAAAAAGAAAAAAATAAGTAAAATCGTATTAAACTATAAATTCTTAATACTGTAATCTGTATTGATAATCCAATATTATTTATTAATCAACGCAATCGCTCTATAATGAATATCAATACAAAAACAATTCATTAACATTATACTAGATACAATATTTTACTGAGTAAACTTCAATTTACAAATTAACATAATCAATAACAAGACTATATAGTAAGTTTTACTATTCTGATATCTAGCTTTTATGTAACGTACACGATTTCATTCAGTTCAATACCCTGTAACAAGATAGGAAATTGTACTGTACGTGATATAGGATAATTATGGTTTCACGTGAATCGACTTTGTATATTTACAGTTGTGTAAGATGTTAATATATACAGATATCCCCGTGTAACACGGTATTTAGGTTCCGAAAAAGTGTCGTGTTATACGAAACAAAGGACTAGTACTGTACAAAACAGAGTTATGTTCCAAAAGTTAACTAGAGTATACTAAAATCCATGGGCAAATATATATATATAACTGTTGTATTGGAGCAAGCTATAGTAATATGAGTCGACCAAGTATTTTCTGGCACTTCTTAATCTAGGAACGGAGCCTGCCAAAAAGTCGGCATTTGATCCATAATTTGATATGATTGGGATCAAAATTTAGTATGCCTATAAACATACATTGTAGACATTAAAGGTTCTGTTTAGCTATGTTAAATACTAACTGATAAAAATATTTATAAGAATTCTTTAAATATATTTTCATACAGAATGTTTTAGATTTTATTATTTATTTTTTTATTAAGAATATAGACAAGTTTAAATTGATAAAAGATAAAACAATTTGTATATTTAACTATTCAATCAAAAAGTATCTAAATATAAATAAAGATAAGGAATATATTAAATTAATGTACAGAAATTATTTTAAACTAATGCAATGTTAACAATATTATCAATAAAAATCAATTACTTTTTAAATAATCTTTCTGTAAAATATGATAATATTTCATCAAGTTGAGCAATAATAGCATTATAATTGTGCCTACATTATGAAATCAACAAAGTACAGGCTTTTTACACAAATCATTACTTATTCCAATATTTGTATATAACAATAAAACACGCGTATAAATAAAATATACTATTTAAATTTATAAATTATTATTAAAATAAGTAAGATTATATTATAATCTTGAATCGGTATCATTCTTATCAAACATTAACATTTAATTATTGCGCAATAATGAGCAATTGAATAGCCATTTATTCCTCACTAAAAATTTATTCTACGCATTATAATGCTTCCTTTCTTTGATTTGAAATATGTATAAATATTATTTTCCTACAAGAAATTAGTTGAATGTTTTAAAATTCCAAATCATCCTGCCACAGCAAAATATCTGGAATGTATTCAAAACATTCTGAAATGATAAAATTTTAAAATCTTTTATCACTAATTTAATGTAATTCTTGAAAAGAAAAATCTTTAATCAATTTCTGAGTTTATTACAAATATATCATGAAAAATAATAGGAGATATGAGTGGCTAACAGAGAAGACACCATAATAGATGATGGTTTAATAAAGAATAATAGAAGCCATGCCAAAAGAATGGATGAGAGAAGAAGACCAAGAGCAGATAGGGAATCATTTTTGAAATCATTCCTCCATCTCCTCTTGGTCTTCCTCTCTTTCTTTTGGAAATGAAAAACACTTAAAAAATGATGGATAAGATTGATAGAAGTGAACACTAGACAGAGACCTATCCTGCAGTAGAAAATTACAGCTGATGATGACAAATCCAAGGGTAAAAAATGGATCATCCAGATTAATGAAGGCAAATACTAATTATATATATCCAAACCAAAGCTTAAATCATTCAAGATAAAAGTATAGTGTATGTAAGCTAAAAAACTGAGGAAAGTGCACATTAAACTGATCATCTCATATGAAAACATTATCTAAAAATAGGGTCATTTTTTTTTGGTATTAAAGTCTTAAGACTAATTATAGAATAAATTTGCATTCTGCTGTAAAATAAAAATTTATTTTTAAGACTTTTAATACCATAACTTAGAAATGAGTTATTGTATATCTTACATCTATAATTATATTTAGTAATTTATAAATTAAAAATTATAAAAATTGTTTATAATTACCATAATATTAACTTAGAATTTACAGAATATTCTATTTCCTCCTTGTTTCGTGTTGCAATCTTGCAAATCGTTTTGAAAGATCCTCGTTTAATTTTTTAGCCGTTTTAAGTTCTTTTTCGCACTTGTCATTTTCTGCTTCTAATTTTTTTATATATTCTATTGCCTTCTGCAAAACCAAATTCATCGGTTTTTTATTTGGCAAGTTTGGGATTTGTTCGGCTAGGAATGCAATGTCTCTCTTTAGTGCGTGTCTTCGGTCTCTCTCTTTCGTATTGTGGAGAGCTCTCGTTCTATCGTCCATTCGCTTTTTACCTTTTCTCCTCTTTCCTCCATTATTTTCTCTATTTTCACTTTCCGACATATTCATTTCAGCATAATTTCTACGTCTCGGTCGACCACGACGTGGACGATTTACGATTTCTGCGTTTACAGTCACAAGAACATTTTCTGCCATGCTTCTACGACTGTTGTCGTCAGTAACGTCAATTTCACTTGTGTCTATATCTACAATTTCATCTACATTAATATTTTCTATTCCATCTTCAAAATTTAGATTTTCAATTTCTTCATCTGAAAGAAAAGTTACATCATAAATATATAATAATAATTATTAAATTATAACAAATTTGTTATAAAAGAATAGTTATATTTTTAAATTTTCTAAATTATCAATATAGATAATCTATATTTAGTTGGTATAAAATATAATCCTTAAGGAATATCAGGTAAGTATATACACCTTGTACTACAAGAGACTCACTTAAAATTGAACAACGTTCAAATCTCTTACAAGCACAAAGATCTATAAAAATAGAACAAATACTTGCTTCATTATTAATAAATCTTCAAATCAAAGTCATCAGGACATTTTCCTCTCTTGCTTTCACTTCTATCAAGTTATCAACTAGCTCCTTGTTATCTTCATGCAATGAGGAAAATGTCTTAATAACTTCTTTTGAGGCTTCTAAACCTTACTATTGAACCAATAAAAGAACCTATATTTTTACATCTTAGAAAGCTTTTAGCATTATAGAACATGTCATTAAATATTTTCAGAAATGCATCATTTCAATCTGATTAGATTGACATTTTTAATAAGGGCAATGGGTCTCCAATAACAATTTTTGAATTAATATAGTTAATTGAATATAATTATCTATTAACACAATTATCTTTATCCATTGAATTACAGTAGACCCCTCCTATAACACTGTAGATAATTCCGTGTTGTACGAGCCACTTAGATTTTACAAATACTTATGCCGGGCTGTGAACGGCTCACGTATTTGTAAAATCTAAATGTCTCGTATAACACGGAATTATCTACAGTATTATAGGGGTCTACTGTATCTATATATCAATAGAGTATTTTATTATTATAAAAACAAACATGAACACAAGAATTGAATTAATTAAAACTGTTGTTTTTGTAATATTGTCTATTCAATTTTAGATGTTATATAACTTAAATTATGCCATAATATACTGGAATATACAATCTTTTTATTATATAGAACTGAGCAACATTTATCCTTTTTCATAGAACCGGCTTGACTCTTAAAAATCAAATTCATTATGTCCTAAATGTCTGATCTCAGCCAAACTATATATTTGGAGGATGAGTATGTCACATGATTGGCCAAATAGATTCCTACTATAATTATTGGAATTTTATGTCAAATTCTGGCTCATAAGGCATTTCTAGAGCTTTAAGAATGAGTAATTCTGTAACAGATTTATTATTACTTTAAATTAAACCAACGATAAATTCTTCACTTTATTTAAAAAAAAAAACTAACTAACTAAATATCTTTCCGTATTTGTATATAACAATAAAACACGCATATAAATAAAATATACTATTTAAATTTATAAATTATTATTAAAATAAGTAAGATTATATTATAATCTTGAATCGGTATCATTCTTATCAAACATTAACATTTAATTATTGCGCAATAATGAGCAATTGAATAGCCATTTATTCCTCACTAAAAATTTATTCTACGCATTATAATGCTTCCTTTCTTTGATTTGAAATATGTATAAATATTATTTTCCTACAAGAAATTAGTTGAATGTTTTAAAATTCCAAATCATCCTGCCACAGCAAAATATCTGGAATGTATTCAAAACATTCTGAAATGATAAAATTTTAAAATCTTTTATCACTAATTTAATGTAATTCTTGAAAAGAAAAATCTTTAATCAATTTCTGAGTTTATTACAAATATATCATGAAAAATAATAGGAGATATGAGTGGCTAACAGAGAAGACACCATAATAGATGATGGTTTAATAAAGAATAATAGAAGCCATGCCAAAAGAATGGATGAGAGAAGAAGACCAAGAGCAGATAGGGAATCATTTTTGAAATCATTCCTCCATCTCCTCTTGGTCTTCCTCTCTTTCTTTTGGAAATGAAAAACACTTAAAAAATGATGGATAAGATTGATAGAAGTGAACACTAGACAGAGACCTATCCTGCAGTAGAAAATTACAGCTGATGATGACAAATCCAAGGGTAAAAAATGGATCATCCAGATTAATGAAGGCAAATACTAATTATATATATCCAAACCAAAGCTTAAATCATTCAAGATAAAAGTATAGTGTATGTAAGCTAAAAAACTGAGGAAAGTGCACATTAAACTGATCATCTCATATGAAAACATTATCTAAAAATAGGGTCATTTTTTTTTGGTATTAAAGTCTTAAGACTAATTATAGAATAAATTTGCATTCTGCTGTAAAATAAAAATTTATTTTTAAGACTTTTAATACCATAACTTAGAAATGAGTTATTGTATATCTTACATCTATAATTATATTTAGTAATTTATAAATTAAAAATTATAAAAATTGTTTATAATTACCATAATATTAACTTAGAATTTACAGAATATTCTATTTCCTCCTTGTTTCGTGTTGCAATCTTGCAAATCGTTTTGAAAGATCCTCGTTTAATTTTTTAGCCGTTTTAAGTTCTTTTTCGCACTTGTCATTTTCTGCTTCTAATTTTTTTATATATTCTATTGCCTTCTGCAAAACCAAATTCATCGGTTTTTTATTTGGCAAGTTTGGGATTTGTTCGGCTAGGAATGCAATGTCTCTCTTTAGTGCGTGTCTTCGGTCTCTCTCTTTCGTATTGTGGAGAGCTCTCGTTCTATCGTCCATTCGCTTTTTACCTTTTCTCCTCTTTCCTCCATTATTTTCTCTATTTTCACTTTCCGACATATTCATTTCAGCATAATTTCTACGTCTCGGTCGACCACGACGTGGACGATTTACGATTTCTGCGTTTACAGTCACAAGAACATTTTCTGCCATGCTTCTACGACTGTTGTCGTCAGTAACGTCAATTTCACTTGTGTCTATATCTACAATTTCATCTACATTAATATTTTCTATTCCATCTTCAAAATTTAGATTTTCAATTTCTTCATCTGAAAGAAAAGTTACATCATAAATATATAATAATAATTATTAAATTATAACAAATTTGTTATAAAAGAATAGTTATATTTTTAAATTTTCTAAATTATCAATATAGATAATCTATATTTAGTTGGTATAAAATATAATCCTTAAGGAATATCAGGTAAGTATATACACCTTGTACTACAAGAGACTCACTTAAAATTGAACAACGTTCAAATCTCTTACAAGCACAAAGATCTATAAAAATAGAACAAATACTTGCTTCATTATTAATAAATCTTCAAATCAAAGTCATCAGGACATTTTCCTCTCTTGCTTTCACTTCTATCAAGTTATCAACTAGCTCCTTGTTATCTTCATGCAATGAGGAAAATGTCTTAATAACTTCTTTTGAGGCTTCTAAACCTTACTATTGAACCAATAAAAGAACCTATATTTTTACATCTTAGAAAGCTTTTAGCATTATAGAACATGTCATTAAATATTTTCAGAAATGCATCATTTCAATCTGATTAGATTGACATTTTTAATAAGGGCAATGGGTCTCCAATAACAATTTTTGAATTAATATAGTTAATTGAATATAATTATCTATTAACACAATTATCTTTATCCATTGAATTACAGTAGACCCCTCCTATAACACTGTAGATAATTCCGTGTTGTACGAGCCACTTAGATTTTACAAATACTTATGCCGGGCTGTGAACGGCTCACGTATTTGTAAAATCTAAATGTCTCGTATAACACGGAATTATCTACAGTATTATAGGGGTCTACTGTATCTATATATCAATAGAGTATTTTATTATTATAAAAACAAACATGAACACAAGAATTGAATTAATTAAAACTGTTGTTTTTGTAATATTGTCTATTCAATTTTAGATGTTAGATAACTTAAATTATGCCAATAATATACTGAAATATACAATCTTTTGATTATATAGAACTGAGCAACATTTATCCTTTTACATAGAACTGGCTTGACTCTTAAAAATCAAATTCATTATGTCCTAAATGTCTGATCTCAGTCAAACTATATATTTGGAGGATGAGTATGTCACATGATTGGCCAAATAGATTCCTACTATAATTATTGGAATTTTATGTCAAATTCTGGCTCATAAGGCATTTCTAGAGCTTTAAGAATGAGTAATTCTGTAACAGATTTATTATTACTTTAAATTAAACCAACGATAAATTCTTCACTTTATTTAAAAAAAAAACTAACTAACTAAATATCTTTCNAGTAGAAGTAACCACTGCCCAGGCATTAACGAACTCAAGATATCTCTTAACAAAGAGATAAATGAAGTGGAAGTAACCACTGCCCAGGCATTAACGAACTCAAGATATCTCTTAACAAAGAGGTAAATGAAGTGGAAGTAACCGCTGCCCAGAATCAAACAACGACAAGTAATGAAAATGACGAAATAACAAACCTCCCGGCTGTACCTTATAATAATGAAAATTCGCCACCGCTTCTAACAGCTAAACGGAGAAAAAAAACGAAATTTATTCCCAGTATTAATATTACGAGAAGTTCAATACGGCCAATAGACCAAGAAAACGATATACTCACCATACAAAATAAATTTGAATGCCTTATGGAAACAAACGAAACGGAAATGACATTAGAAAAATATAAATTAGAAAATAGCAGTGGTGATATGAGCACAAAAGACCGGGCTGTCAAAACAAATAAACCAGAAATAATGATCGTTCCTCCTAAACTCAATAATGGCCTTGAAGATTAAGATGATAACGCTAAATGTTAACGGTTTAAAAATTGGAATTTCGATGGGCTATGTCGTAAATTAGATATTTCATAAATGTATGGTCGCATGGAGGTATTGGTAGCAGGGGGACTGCGATTTTAATAAGGAAAAACATAAACATCATTAATTCGTGCACTGACAATATAGGGAGAGTTGCTGTTTGCGACATTGAAATACCACAATCCATTAATCGTATAATCTCGGTCTACTGTCCTGCCAATAACACCAAAGACAGTGTCGAATTCATCGAGTCTTAGCTTCTACCTTGACTGCCGTTATAACACAATCTTAGGGGGTGATTTTAACTTTGTTGAACACGAGAATGATAGAATCGGCAACACGAATAACTCCAGAGAAAACTTCCATTTCAAGGCTGTTAAAAATCAAAAATGATCTGATTGACATATGGCGCTCTGTTTGTTGGAGTTCGTTTCTGAATTTCGACACGAATAGACGTATTTGTGCAGTGAAATTTATTTTGAATAATTATTTTATAATTTAAAAAATGTCATCAAGAGAAGCAAGTTCTTCACGTTGTGACGAAAAAACTGTTGATGATAACTCTTTATACAGTGATGTATCGAAGCAGCGGCTAAAAGATGGAGTAGTGTATTATGAGAGTTTACTGTTCGAAAATAATTTAATTGCAACATTTATAGATTTTCCCATTCAACAGATCCAATGTATTATTGTATAATTCTGTGCCTAACAGCATAGCATTTTCGTATAGTGTATCAGATGTTATTGCAATTAAATTATTTTCCAATTAATTGCAATTCAGAAACGAACTGTTAAAGAGTGAGTGAAAAAGAACTCCGACAGAAAAAACGCTCCTAGTGAGAATTAGATCGGTCACCCTTAGTGATAACAATTAGATGGGAAAGCTGACACAGGTGTCAAGAATGCGCCGTTATTGTCAACAAAAGTAAAAAAAAAATATTAGACTTAGAATAGTAGAAATTAAATTAAAATAAATAAATAATAAGAAATAAATGAATGAGTAAATAAATAAATACATTATAAGCATTTATGAATTAAAAAAAATATATGTGCGCATAAGAAACGAACCCGTAAACTCAAGCATACAAGTCAGAATCGTTACCACTCAGCCACAGGACTTCTTTTCCTCCCCAATATAAAATATATCTTTATTCACAGAAAAGCATTATATACAGTGTTTCAATCGCTGATTGATGATTATTACGTAACGGTTTTGTAGACCATGTGAGTACATATATGAGTTTTTCCGGTAAAGATTTGCTAATTTGTTTTCATGACGTACAGTACAGTATGGTGTGAAAGTTGATTAAACAGACTATATGGAGGGGTTGCGTTGCAACATTTGTTAACAACTTGTAAAGTTAATTGGTTGTTTTTGTTCTTGGTGACTCGAATCATTCCTGTTTTCTCCCAGTTGTTCATTTTTTTCGTATTTAGATTCTTTTTGCTGTCATTTATCGTTTCTAGTAGTCTTTGTAAGTGGAACTTGAATTTCGTGATTGTCGTTATATCATTGATTTTCCGGAAATACGCTGTGTTTCTGTTTCTCCAGATTGCTTCGAATGCTGTTATTAAGATAGCGTAATTTACCTCTTTGTTTTGTATGTTATGAAGCCATTGGGGTTCATTTTCATTAGATGGTTTTTGAATATTGTTGAATTTTTCTAGGAATTCCCATAATTTTTTCGTATGTGTGCATTGGAGGAAGGCATGGTTAAGAGTTTCTGTTAATTGGCATACGGGGCATTTATCCGTGGATATTAACTTTTTGTTTTGTTTCCATGTATTTGTAGGGAGATAATTATGATGCATGCGCCAGAAGATTGTTTTTGCATTGTTGCTTACTTTTAGTTTCGATACAATTTTTATTATGCTTTCGTTCCGTATGTTGGTTGGTGCTATCCTGTTTTGGGGTTTTGGAACGTAGATATCAACAAGCTTGTTGTATAATTCGTCAGGTTTTGATGACAATATTTCTTCATCAGATAAGTGTTCTTTTAATACTTTGTAGCACAGTATTACTTCCTGTACGATTGCTGGCGGCTTCGACCGGTTTGTAATTTTCGCTGACAATAAAACGGAGGAGCGGCTCGATGCTAATAGCAAATAGAAGCATTGAAAGGGGCAGCCCTGCCTCACAGAGCATTTTAGGCTGCAGGCTTTCGTAACGTTGTTATTTACCAGGATGTTGCTAGGTATTTTTCTCCTATGTTAATGTGCCGTAGTAATGACCACAAATATTCCTGGTCTATGTTGTCAAAAGCCCTATGAAAATCAATTTGCAGGAAGCTGCAAGTATCATGATTCTGATGGGCTAGTTCGTAGATCGTTTGGGCTAATAGGGTGTTTGAGTGGATGAAACGACCTTTTATTCCACATGTTTGGTTTTCGCCCACTATATGTTTGACGTACTGTACCTCTGTAGCCTTGCCGCCAGGATTTTTGTTAATATTTTATAATCTGTGTTTAATAGGGAAATTGGTCTCCAGTTAATAATATGTCTAAGGTCACCTGAGTTGTCAGATTTAGGTACGAGGGTAATTAATCCTTTATTAATTAATAAAGGATTAATTAATCCTCCCTCACCTACACATCATCCGTAACAGGCTAGGCGTCGCCGGGTAGTGAGAGGACGTCGCGGGAGACGCTGTTGAAGGTGATTGTACAATCTGTTTTCTCGGCCATTTACATCGGAAATTAGAATGTAAGTGGTAGAGACAGCTGAATAGAAGCGTGCCAGCGTGTTCGGTTGAAATAGGAGCGGTGGCGGCGGCCGAAGAGGCATCGACGAAACGTTGCATAATTAGCCGTCGACTGTCGTATTAATCGTGTTTTTCTTTAGTCTTTGCTGATAAGTGTCGTTAGAATATATGACCGGCTTTGTCGGGCTTCCTGTTAAACACGTGATAGGCTCAGTGGAGAAAGAAGCGTGACTCCCGATCACGCTCGGTAGTAGTAGTTGAAAGGTGGCGATCGCATAGACTAACTTTGGAAAGGTTTGGAGATAGAAAAAAGCATAGGAATGTCTCGGAGTAATTTTGGGGCTATATGTCGCGAAGGGTCACATATAGAGTGTGGTTTCTTTAACTTTTTTGCTCTTCACTCTGTTAAGGTCCCAACCGTCTCATTTAGAGCTTGAATGAACTTCAATTTAAACTCTGAATGACACGGTTCTATTCTGCATGCTCTTGTTTCTTTTTCTCGCAGAAGAAAGTTACAAAAATGCTTGAAAGCGGTAAAACTACCTACTAACCAAATGTTTAAACAAACTTCTTGCCGCAAAGCGACTCGAGCGCCAGTATCGGCAACCTAACACATTAACTCCACTTTAGAACATAGCTCAGAGACCCGTATATCTGTCGACTCTGGTATAACGTAGGCCACTGTGTACAAGTAGCTTTTGAGCTTGTTCGGTGTAGTCAGCCGGAGATGTTTACAAAGATACAAACGAATGTAGAGCCGTTAATTCAGAGTTTAGAACCGATCGGCGCGTTAAATTGTTGAAAACTCGAGGAATGTGAAGCAAATAATTTAGTGACACGTTTGTTTACGCTCGAACTACCGCGCACTCTAAAAGCTTCCAAAACCCCAGCTTAAGTATACAGCAGAGTTTCACGTGATACGATCCGATTATGATTCCAAATAGCTTACGACACTCACCTATCCGGACTCGACGTTCGTACCAAATTTAGTCAAATTTGAGGAGTCTAATTAAATATAATGACATTTGAGTGTAAAGAAACGAGTTCGCTCACTCGTCTCAATAAGATGGAGGGATTAACATACAGAAAAACTACAAGTACTGTACGCTTTCGTTCAGAAACGACGGTGGTGTTGCATATTTAATTAAACTTTGACGTATGGTAACACTAGAACTTGCCGTATTTTCGTCAATTCAGGAGGATGTTTTGTATCTCACCACGCCTTCTCCACATAACGTTCAAAATGCACCGCGTAACTTAAATAGACTTTTGTGTATTTTTAATTTGAATATTTATTTTTAGAAGGTCATTAAGAGAAAATTAACTAGGAAGTTTATTAAAAGATCTCATTTTTTCCTCAGCGTCATTTTTCCATCGCCATTTTTGATTTGTACAAGGTTCTTCCTCAACCGTTTACCTCAAACCATGTCTTCGGGAACATGGTATTTGAGGGACGTTCACTGTTCAATCCGAATCATTACATTTATCGATTTTTAATCAGCATTATTTGTAGCTACGTTATAAAATATTCCTGCAGAATTTACTTCATCCCAAACAATGTCTGCTTTTTAAAGATCTCGCTTTCTAGTTTCTCCTAGAATTATTATGACTTAATTAATTAATGTTATTTATTGTTGGAATTTCAGATATTTAATGAAGTAACCTATAGTGAATCTATTTACAATATTCGATACATTTATATACAGATAAAATTCAAAAAATATTTTAAATATTTGGTGTCAGTTATCCAGAACAATAACAACGTAGCCACTCGTTATCCTTGATCAAATTTCCATTCTTTCACCGGTTTGACTACATTATTGTAATTCAGGTTACGAACTCGAGCAGTCAATCTCCTTCGAACAAGTTAATATTAAGAGTGCATTCATCCGAATGCTAATTAAAGTTAGAAAAATTGCCATGAAACTTGACGAACGAGTCGATTTTTTCGTTTGAAAATCGACGTATTACATAATTATCAATTAATACGCAAGATATAATGGAATAATTGTTCCGTATTTTCAGCGGAATTATAAGAAACTAGCAGTTAGGCCCGGCGTTGCTCGGGCAAAAGTAACGATAACTAAGATAAAGATTATTACGTTACAGTAAACCTTACCCGTTTTCAGAGAATGCAAGAATTGGGTCCCCTTGTTTCCAGACTAATTAGACAATTTTTAGATGGGTCTAAAAATATGTTCGATTTCCCGCAAAAACGAAAAAACTGCATCTGCGTATTGCACGTCGCTTTCTCTTAACAATTCCATTGTTGATGGAAGTGTTAAGCCTTAATCCTGTCCCTCTCCCCCGTGGGGAGGAATTTCGAAAAATCCCTTCTTAGTGTGCGTTTTCGTGACGTACCCTATCTATGTACCAAATTTCAACTTTCAACTCCTAACCGTTTGGGCTCTGCACTTATTATCATCATCATCAACCTGTCTCAATTATATATTAGATTCGGTACTAAAAATATACGGTCGGAGATATCGACGAAAGGGAAATAGATGATTGCCTAAGGTAAAACTTTCCAAAATGTACAGGAAAACTTTTTAAAAAGGTATTATTTTCCTTAATATGTCAAGGGTATTTTAATTAATCTATTGTAAATAGATTTCATTCTAGAAAATATAAAGTCTCGGATGAAACCGCGCTCCTTTTAGGCATATTAATGTTATTTGGTCGCATTCGAAGGTCACCGACATAAAATTCTGCGATAATCTTCATTGTTATTCAATTCGAAAGATATTTTCAATTACGATAGGCAATAAAGATTTCCAAGGTAAACGGGAAGACATTACTACGGGGATATACGTGGGTACCGTACGCACAGTACCTTGAACTCCTTATTTGCAAAGTGTTTTTTTGACAGGTACACTGCTTAAAAAATAATTCGGAAAAGTTACTTTTAAACTTAATTATAGTTCTAAAATATTGTATGACAAGTTATTAATACTTTACGTATTTAATTAGGTTTAAAATGGTGTTTCTCGACCTCTCGCTTCGACGACTTAAGTATATCGAAAGGCTGTGGGAATAACTCTCACAAAAGCCTAAAATTTTTATATATACACACTTAAAAATAATAGCAATGCCGTAAGTAGATATAAATTTGTATATTTTAGCGTATTTCGCGGATGATTTATATAAAAAATGTGTGTTAAATTCAAGGCAAAATGAATATAATTAATAAAGTCTTGATAAAGTTTATTTATTTTGTAATCAATTCGTATACACTGATAAAATATTAAAAAACCATCTCCACCCGACATCTGTTTAAAAAAAAAAGAAAAAAATAAGTAAAATCGTATTAAACTATAAATTCTTAATACTGTAATCTGTATTGATAATCCAATATTATTTATTAATCAACGCAATCGCTCTATAATGAATATCAATACAAAAACAATTCATTAACATTATACTAGATACAATATTTTACTGAGTAAACTTCAATTTACAAATTAACATAATCAATAACAAGACTATATAGTAAGTTTTACTATTCTGATATCTAGCTTTTATGTAACGTACACGATTTCATTCAGTTCAATACCCTGTAACAAGATAGGAAATTGTACTGTACGTGATATAGGATAATTATGGTTTCACGTGAATCGACTTTGTATATTTACAGTTGTGTAAGATGTTAATATATACAGATATCCCCGTGTAACACGGTATTTAGGTTCCGAAAAAGTGTCGTGTTATACGAAACAAAGGACTAGTACTGTACAAAACAGAGTTATGTTCCAAAAGTTAACTAGAGTATACTAAAATCCATGGGCAAATATATATATATAACTGTTGTATTGGAGCAAGCTATAGTAATATGAGTCGACCAAGTATTTTCTGGCACTTCTTAATCTAGGAACGGAGCCTGCCAAAAAGTCGGCATTTGATCCATAATTTGATATGATTGGGATCAAAATTTAGTATGCCTATAAACATACATTGTAGACATTAAAGGTTCTGTTTAGCTATGTTAAATACTAACTGATAAAAATATTTATAAGAATTCTTTAAATATATTTTCATACAGAATGTTTTAGATTTTATTATTTATTTTTTTATTAAGAATATAGACAAGTTTAAATTGATAAAAGATAAAACAATTTGTATATTTAACTATTCAATCAAAAAGTATCTAAATATAAATAAAGATAAGGAATATATTAAATTAATGTACAGAAATTATTTTAAACTAATGCAATGTTAACAATATTATCAATAAAAATCAATTACTTTTTAAATAATCTTTCTGTAAAATATGATAATATTTCATCAAGTTGAGCAATAATAGCATTATAATTGTGCCTACATTATGAAATCAACAAAGTACAGGCTTTTTACACAAATCATTACTTATTCCAATATTTGTATATAACAATAAAACACGCGTATAAATAAAATATACTATTTAAATTTATAAATTATTATTAAAATAAGTAAGATTATATTATAATCTTGAATCGGTATCATTCTTATCAAACATTAACATTTAATTATTGCGCAATAATGAGCAATTGAATAGCCATTTATTCCTCACTAAAAATTTATTCTACGCATTATAATGCTTCCTTTCTTTGATTTGAAATATGTATAAATATTATTTTCCTACAAGAAATTAGTTGAATGTTTTAAAATTCCAAATCATCCTGCCACAGCAAAATATCTGGAATGTATTCAAAACATTCTGAAATGATAAAATTTTAAAATCTTTTATCACTAATTTAATGTAATTCTTGAAAAGAAAAATCTTTAATCAATTTCTGAGTTTATTACAAATATATCATGAAAAATAATAGGAGATATGAGTGGCTAACAGAGAAGACACCATAATAGATGATGGTTTAATAAAGAATAATAGAAGCCATGCCAAAAGAATGGATGAGAGAAGAAGACCAAGAGCAGATAGGGAATCATTTTTGAAATCATTCCTCCATCTCCTCTTGGTCTTCCTCTCTTTCTTTTGGAAATGAAAAACACTTAAAAAATGATGGATAAGATTGATAGAAGTGAACACTAGACAGAGACCTATCCTGCAGTAGAAAATTACAGCTGATGATGACAAATCCAAGGGTAAAAAATGGATCATCCAGATTAATGAAGGCAAATACTAATTATATATATCCAAACCAAAGCTTAAATCATTCAAGATAAAAGTATAGTGTATGTAAGCTAAAAAACTGAGGAAAGTGCACATTAAACTGATCATCTCATATGAAAACATTATCTAAAAATAGGGTCATTTTTTTTTGGTATTAAAGTCTTAAGACTAATTATAGAATAAATTTGCATTCTGCTGTAAAATAAAAATTTATTTTTAAGACTTTTAATACCATAACTTAGAAATGAGTTATTGTATATCTTACATCTATAATTATATTTAGTAATTTATAAATTAAAAATTATAAAAATTGTTTATAATTACCATAATATTAACTTAGAATTTACAGAATATTCTATTTCCTCCTTGTTTCGTGTTGCAATCTTGCAAATCGTTTTGAAAGATCCTCGTTTAATTTTTTAGCCGTTTTAAGTTCTTTTTCGCACTTGTCATTTTCTGCTTCTAATTTTTTTATATATTCTATTGCCTTCTGCAAAACCAAATTCATCGGTTTTTTATTTGGCAAGTTTGGGATTTGTTCGGCTAGGAATGCAATGTCTCTCTTTAGTGCGTGTCTTCGGTCTCTCTCTTTCGTATTGTGGAGAGCTCTCGTTCTATCGTCCATTCGCTTTTTACCTTTTCTCCTCTTTCCTCCATTATTTTCTCTATTTTCACTTTCCGACATATTCATTTCAGCATAATTTCTACGTCTCGGTCGACCACGACGTGGACGATTTACGATTTCTGCGTTTACAGTCACAAGAACATTTTCTGCCATGCTTCTACGACTGTTGTCGTCAGTAACGTCAATTTCACTTGTGTCTATATCTACAATTTCATCTACATTAATATTTTCTATTCCATCTTCAAAATTTAGATTTTCAATTTCTTCATCTGAAAGAAAAGTTACATCATAAATATATAATAATAATTATTAAATTATAACAAATTTGTTATAAAAGAATAGTTATATTTTTAAATTTTCTAAATTATCAATATAGATAATCTATATTTAGTTGGTATAAAATATAATCCTTAAGGAATATCAGGTAAGTATATACACCTTGTACTACAAGAGACTCACTTAAAATTGAACAACGTTCAAATCTCTTACAAGCACAAAGATCTATAAAAATAGAACAAATACTTGCTTCATTATTAATAAATCTTCAAATCAAAGTCATCAGGACATTTTCCTCTCTTGCTTTCACTTCTATCAAGTTATCAACTAGCTCCTTGTTATCTTCATGCAATGAGGAAAATGTCTTAATAACTTCTTTTGAGGCTTCTAAACCTTACTATTGAACCAATAAAAGAACCTATATTTTTACATCTTAGAAAGCTTTTAGCATTATAGAACATGTCATTAAATATTTTCAGAAATGCATCATTTCAATCTGATTAGATTGACATTTTTAATAAGGGCAATGGGTCTCCAATAACAATTTTTGAATTAATATAGTTAATTGAATATAATTATCTATTAACACAATTATCTTTATCCATTGAATTACAGTAGACCCCTCCTATAACACTGTAGATAATTCCGTGTTGTACGAGCCACTTAGATTTTACAAATACTTATGCCGGGCTGTGAACGGCTCACGTATTTGTAAAATCTAAATGTCTCGTATAACACGGAATTATCTACAGTATTATAGGGGTCTACTGTATCTATATATCAATAGAGTATTTTATTATTATAAAAACAAACATGAACACAAGAATTGAATTAATTAAAACTGTTGTTTTTGTAATATTGTCTATTCAATTTTAGATGTTAGATAACTTAAATTATGCCAATAATATACTGAAATATACAATCTTTTGATTATATAGAACTGAGCAACATTTATCCTTTTACATAGAACTGGCTTGACTCTTAAAAATCAAATTCATTATGTCCTAAATGTCTGATCTCAGTCAAACTATATATTTGGAGGATGAGTATGTCACATGATTGGCCAAATAGATTCCTACTATAATTATTGGAATTTTATGTCAAATTCTGGCTCATAAGGCATTTCTAGAGCTTTAAGAATGAGTAATTCTGTAACAGATTTATTATTACTTTAAATTAAACCAACGATAAATTCTTCACTTTATTTTAAAAAAAAAACTAACTAACTAAATATCTTTCCGTTTCGACTATTTTTCGTTTAAAATTAATAAAATTATACTAAAATAAATCTTAAATATTGAAGGTCTTTGTTTCAACATTCAAACAATTCCTTCGAAATTTGAAAATTTAATAAATTATATACTTCAACCAATCAGGTAACGTAAAACTAATTTTTAAACATCTACAGTAAATTACGCGCTTCCATTTGTTGAAACTGATGACGCCATCGCAGCGTAGTTTCAGGAAGTGGAGGTTTTAGGTACAGTGTTGCCACGTAATGATAATTTTTTTTAATATATTTTTATCTAATCAGAAAACGTTTAAAATATGAATAATTTATTTACCTTTATTTATTATGTCATTATCGGCATATTCGGAAGGATTCTGCGAATATGTATGATCTTGATGAATAGTTGGAATGTTAAGTTGATTCGGTTCTATACCCGAAACACTAACTTCTTGATCGTTATTTAATTCTATAATTAAATTTTCGGGTACATAATTGACTATATTAGAATCTTGGCTCTCGTTCCAACAAGAACCTTCAAATGAAATTGGGCTTATTGATGTATCGAGACTAATTTCTCTGCTTATTTCTAATATTTCTTCATATCTCGGCTCCGAATCGGTCAACATTGCATCTTCGAAAAGAGAATTCGGATTCAAATTGGAGTAAAGAAATGAATCATCTCCGTTATCTGGTACGGGTGCCATACTAACAGCACACAAACTGCAATCCGTAAAGAAATCCGACAAAAGTCGATTGGGATCGGCAATACCAAGTAGAGAAATCCTATAGTAAAAAAATAATATTTAGAAAATTTAATATATATCAATTACTATCAACAGATGTCGCTCTGCTAACATCCTTTAAAATACATGATATATCAAGCTAAAAATTCAAATTTAAAAGTTATTTTTTTTATGCTAAAATAACTTTAAATTCGATAAAATTATTATATTAATTCAATATTAGATAAATTGAATTAATATTAATACTTTTAATAGCAATATTTCAGTTTAAAGCATGAAGATATACACCATATTGCACAACATGAGGTAACCATACGTTGCTGTCTACTAGTTAAAATCTGGGCAAAATAATAATAAATGGACTGTTCCGAACCCGAAAAGAGATTATTACAATCAAATAATAATCTGATAAATATATAAATTAAAGAAGAAAAGTCATCTAATCATATGTAATAGCATATATAGTGTAAGCGAGACATACCTGAATACTTGGAAGGATCAGAAATAAAATTTAAAAGTTCCTCTCACGTCCCTGGATCGAGAGATGGACCGTGTTTGACTTGCTGCTTAACGGAATTCGATAAAACAACGTGAAATAGCAAAGACATCAACATAATACACGAATGGAAAGATTGTTGTTTAGTGTCGGCGAAGTAAATGGCCGACATTCACACAAGGCGCTTTACATCCAACCTATTGATAAAATTGTATCCTTCCGAATACCTGCTACGTCATCCGATCGTCAAGTTAAAAATTAACATTAAATTAAATAATATTTAAATAAAAACATAAATATAATTACATCCTTGTAATAAAATAAATATTGTTTCTAAATTTTTAATTAAATCTACGAGTTTTATTAGGAACTATTTCGTGTGACGTTTTCTTTGTTGGAATTAGCGGGAAATGTTGAGTGGGCGTGGTTATTAGCGTAGAGTAACCAATGAGCGTATAGATGTATAGTCACGTGCCTATTTTTATATTTTAAATTTTCTCTATTGGGCATAATTAATCGAATGAATCATTCGTGATGTCATCCGTGGAAAAGTCGTTTTAATAGGAAAAATAAGCATTATATTCTTATTAAATAAATTAGAGGAATTGTTCTTCTGCAAAAGTACACTATAATCTTATTATTATTAACATAACGGCTGAGTAATCACCATTTAACGTAGATAATCTACACTTACTATTATTACAGACACACGTTATTCAATAAGAATAGGAGCGTGTCAGAGGCGGGAGAACGGAAACAATGTTATGAATATTTAATTATATTAATTATATCAGAAGGTGATTTATAGATATATTAATCAATTCTTTTAAATTAAGAATATTTTGTTAAAATACGTCCTGTTTTAATGTTTAATTTAGAAAATGCTGAATAAATGAACTAACGAATTAACTAGGCACAAGCATATACAGTATTAACGAAATACACTTTCTGCTGATTAAAACACTAAAAATATCTAAAGTTTATTAATAAATAAACTAGAATAAATCTTTTTAAATCCTCTGTTTTTCTATCAACGTAATATCGATTATTAATCACAAATCATCACTTCTTTATAGCTTTTCAACTTAAAAGAAGTAGTTATTTAGCTTTATTTTAGATTATTAATTCTTATTGTTTAAAATAATGGTCATTTTTCACGAATACATTGATAAAAATTACTATTCTTGCTATAGGCCTATATAAGTTAAATCGTTTATTATAAGTTACTATTCTGCTATACATTATGATCTAAAAGGATATATTTTATATGGCCGGAAGCCATATTTAATATTAGTTATTTAAAAACCATTTTTTGGATAGCATTAAAGTTTTAAATAGCGAATAAAGTTTAAAATTAAATAACAATGTAGTCTACACTTAAAAAGATTATTCTAGATACGTGATGGCTCAAAAAGTCAGTGTTATAAGGGCCAAAAGCCAAAAATGTTAAGGCCAAGGCCTGAACATTTTTACATACATAATAAAGTTAACTGACTTTTAGGGCATCCTGTAATTTTGGATATAAATTTTACTAAGGTATAAATTTAAAAACTATATTTAATTAACTATTTGTTATATAAGTAAGAAGCATTTATTATTTATTTAAATTTCTCCTACTTATAAATCAACATAAATGATCGGTTATTGAAAATATTTGAATTATAGTAATAAAATTGTAAGGTAAAGTACAATTTTATTTTAAAATATAGTGTCTATAATGTCAATTAATTTTAGAATTAACTAGCTGCAAGGACCCGCTTCGCTGGGTTTTTATTTGTATGTAATATAGTTTATATATATATATAAGACTGTTTTTCTAAGTAATCTAAAATCTAGCTGCAAGGACCCGCTTCTCTATTACATTACAGCCAATCTTACCCGTTTTCACAGAATGCAAGAATTAGATCCCCCGTTTCCAGACTAATTAGAAAATTTTTACGTCCAGTCAAACGAACTATTTTCAATTTGATCAATTTTCTGGAAAGTTTACAATCGTTCTATAATCGAACCAAATGTGCAATAACAAATTCGAATTTAAAACGGTTCGAACATTTTTAAAATCGAAATTGATAACATTTCAGACATTGTTATAAATATTTTTATCAATTTAATACACCTAAGTACTCAATGAAGACTAAACGTAGTTGAAAACAAAAAATCGCATCTAAAATAGTACAGTAGAAGCCGTTCTTCCGGTTAAGCCTTAATCCTTTCCCTCTCCTTCCCACTGGGGAATTTCGAAAATCCCTTCTGTTATTCCCTCCCTTCTATATTTTAGTGTTCATTTTCATGACATACCCTGGATTTACTTAACGTGTTAACTGTTAATACGTTTTTTACATGATTTACTTAACGTGTTTACTTAACAGACGAAAAAAAAAATCGGATATAACTGGCTGGATCGAACATAGTAATTTACAAAACTTATTAAAATATTTCCCAACGTATAAAGAATTATTTTTATTTAAAGATGGATAGATAGAAAAAAAATCACGGTTAATCCTCAAACACGGGGTCGTGGGTGAAAGAAAAGACAAGTGTTTGTAGGTCCTACACTACAATAAAAACAACTAGAATTTCAGTGAGAAGGCTGTGCCTGTTTATTTTACAGTACAATTTGTTTTTCGATCGATATTTAAGGAAAGAAAATTACTGATATAGTTTTAATATGGCCCTGGGTGGTTTCAAGAATTTTTTAACTTGTAAAGGGGTCGCGTATTCAAGAAGGTTGAAAAACACTAGTCTAAACTATTGTAAGAACCCATCTCAACAACGTTTCCCCCTAGGCCTAATATAATAAATTAGTCTAAACTCTTGTTCGAACCCATCCCGGGCACTTTTCCCACCCTCGAAATTAAGTGCAGGTGTTAATAAATTAGTCTAGCAACAAAAGAAATTCATTTGTTCTTTTGTTCCGAAAAACAAAAGAAATGTGCTCTCGTTAGAACAGCGCTGTCCAACTGGCGGTCCGCCAAATAATTTTTACGGCCCGCGAGTACATTTTGCTATGAATAAATTTATGTTACTAAATTATTATTATTAATGTTAAATAGTCTAGTGCAGTGATTCTCAACCTTTTTTTCGTCATGGTACCCTTTTAATAATTTAAAAATTTGACGGCGCATTGGTAAGTATCACAGGACAACCAGTGACGTCATAACAGCAATTTTTAAATGCAGTTGGTAATTTAGGTCACATTTTCTAAACACCTTGGTAACTACTGGGAGTTACTGGTAACACCAGCTACAATTTCCAAATGCGCTAGGAAAATAAAACTGATTGAACTACTTGTCTGCTGTCACTTATGTATGAGTATGTGTAGTGGCAGCACACTTCAAAAATCTCGCAGCACAGTGGTTGAGAATTACTGGTCTAGTGTATAAATGAAAAACATAAAAATGTCTATTGGTGTTACTGGTAAATACATTTAATTAATGAGTATGAAC